TGGCCTGTAATAAACACCTACAACAGTTTCTCTCCTGTTACTCTGCCTCTTATTCCTTACCCACAAGCTCTCAACTTGTTTAAATACTCATGCCTCTAGGGTTGAGGGAGGTTTTCCATCCCACTTCCTTATGTCCTCTCCGTGGTCATGCAGGTAAAACCATAGGGTGCCTCGTGGTGTGTACCCTCTATATCCTCTCTCTTGAGTGGAGAAATGCTTACCCCTAATAGCTGAGATATTGGTCCATACAGGTGGGGAGTAGGACCTATCCTCTTTGAATTGCTGGAACTCCCAGGACAGTTTCTCGGCTGTCATGTCTGGCAGTTTCTCCACAGCCGAGATGAGGGAGGAAGAGAGACTTTCTTCATATTGCTGGAGTCAGCCAGCCACCTCATCCACTGTTGGTCCTTCTTCGCCTTTCCATTCCATCACTGCAAATGAGCTGGCGTATGACGATGGTGTGCTCCGTACAAACTTCCGTCACATGGGCCGTGTGCATTGGACTTCACCAGGATCTGTGGGTAACTGCACATTGTCTGGGTCATAAGCCATCTCCCGCACAGCGAATTCCCTCAGGTACTTGATACCACTGGTGGTCCGCTTGCCTGGGTGACATACATCTTCAGCTGAAGGGGTACCTTTCCCTCATGCCTGACGAGTTGCCTCCAGAGGCTGAGGGCTTGTGTCTTTTTCCCAATCACCTTGTCAATGCCCGCTTCCCTAGACAGGGATCCCAGCTGCTTGGCTTCCCTGCCCTCTAATACCCGGATGGCGGCTGAATTTTTTTCGCATGTCTTGCAGCTCACTCAGGGATAGGGATCGGGTGATTACCTCTTCCTCCTCTTCTCATGATGGCCCTGGTTCACTGTCATCTCTTAGGAAGGGAACTGATTTCTTTGTGTATTTCTTCTGTATAGGGGTGACTGATACTGGCACGGGTTGGTTTTCTGGTTCAGCTGCAGTGCCTGTTACCAGGGCTGGAGTAGTCGCAGTGCCTGTCATCAGGGTTGGAGTAGCCACAGTGCCTGTTGCGGGGGTTGGAGTAACTGCAGTGCCTGTAGGTCTGTTTTCTCTCTCTTTCCTCTGAAGATCCTGTATAATATCGAGCAGTGTGTGGTAGATACTGGCCAGGGTCCAGCACAGTGCGCTAAGTTGTGCCTCTCTGGAATAGCCTGTCCTGGTTTGAGCGACACAGGATTAATTTATCTTCTAATACTCAGCAAAACTGCACTTTTAGAAGACTCTAGTGTCTGAATTGGTGACAATATTTACTTTGTAGCCAGCTATGGTGTGTGGGTTTCAAGGTCTCAGTGTTTTTGAGTTAGCCAGGTACAGGAATGAGGAGGAGAGAGATCTGGGCACTTGATCCAAGCTGGTCAACAGGATTATTTCATATCATGAACGTCACATTCGATATAAATTAGAAAGTTTGCTGAGAAGTTCTCTCTCTTCTATGATGGCTGGAATCCTGAGAACTTCTTGCCCCAGTGCTGGACCCCTGAGGCCTTCCCTGCCTCTTGAAGCCGCAGCGCTCTTAGTGTCCGACATTTTCTGTCCACTGCTGGGAGTGCACAGCTTCCTACTGATATAATTGGCTGAGTATAATCCTTGTATATTTTATATTGGTGTCAGGATCAATACTGGTTCTTTAGTATTATTAATGTTAATTATTTAGTCTTATTCTATTAAATCTGTTTATATTTCAACCCTCGGGTTTCCTTGTTTTTTGCCGATTCTCCTTCCCCTTCTAAACAACAATAAATTGTTGTGAGTTCCTCAAACTATAACAAGCCACAGCATTTTCCTTTTAAATATACTATCACTTCATTAGTGTCCTGTAGTTGTTCAGGAGTGAAGTTCCAAACCATTGGAGGTGAGAAATTCTCTTGATACCTGCCCATATTCTCCCACATGCCATGCCACCATGACTCAGGGCAGATCTCTGAGTGGTATATTCTTAAATAGTTGTTTAACCCTAAACAAGACCTGAAACACATTCAGGAGACATAGCAATAGGAACGTGCTGATTTGAACATCACAAGGATATTCAAAATTCTCAAAAGCTGTTGTACCTGGCTCAATGGAAAAAAGGGAGGCAAAAGAGTAGGGGAAAGTATCCCCCCCCCATTTACCTCATAGATTGGGTGTGATTATTAATAAATTCCCAGAGATAGCACCCAAGGTACGGGCATGAAAGCAATGCCACATACACATACTAACTGAACCTCATGAACTGTGATGTTATCATATCATAAATCGATATTACGCATGATAGCAAAATTATAATCCTGATCCCTCTCCCAGAGGTGATAAAAAGCACCGTGGGGAAATCATAGTGCATATAAGAATTTACATAACACAACCATGTGGACAAACAAAGCAACATTGTGACCAGAGACTATTTAAGTAGTATAATAAATGCATATAACAATTTTTTTTTAACACACTCTGGTTGGATCTGTTCTTATCTCAACCCTTCAAGCCCCATGTTGGGTGCCAAAAAAGGACTGTCATGGTTTACCCCCAGCCAGCAACAAAGAACCACATGGCCGCTCGCTCACTCCTGCCCTCCCCCAGCAGGATGGGAAGGAGAATCAGAAGAAAAAGGCAAAACTCATGGGTTGGGCTAGAGTTTAACAGAACAGCAAAGGAAGAGAAAACCAACAACAATAATACTGATAAAAGAATATACAAAAACTATTACTGCACAATGTAACCGTTCACCAACTGGAACCAGAAATGCCCTGGTCCCAAAGAGCGATTCCCGCCCCCCCCCCCCGTCCAGCTCCCCCAGCTATATACTGAGCACAATGTCACATGGTATAGAATATACCTTGGCCAGGTTGAGTCAGCCATTCAGGCTGTGTCCCATCCCATCTTCTTGTGAAAATTATCCCTATCCTCACTGGAATCAGGACAGGTACTCTAATCAACTTCACATGCAAACAGTATAGAAGAAAATTAATTAAACATTTGTTTATCGTCAATATACCTTTTCTCAATATGTCAGACCAGAAATTCACTTCAAGATTGTTCTATCAGGAGTCAGTCAGAAGACAGTAATACCTAAAAGATGATTCCTATGTTGACGAATATTCCTTTCACAGCATCAGGATTTCCTAGCACAGTCGCTCTTGCTGCTGTAGTAGGAGGAACAGAATGCCCCATGATATTCAGAGAAAACTGAGGTTAATTTCTCAATCAGAATATAAATCTGTGCTTTTGATAGTATCCTCCTGTATGGGAAGAAATATTCCTTGTCAGGATTGCTCTCTGGTGTATCCCTTTGAATTAGTTGGCCTGTTTTATTCCAAATAGCTTAAAAGTATGCTAAATGCTAAAAGGACCATCACAGGTACTTGTAGTACCTCTTGTAGTCTCCCTCCACAATTTTCCTGTCTTTTCCTTAAATTATTAATTGTCCAGAGAACCCTTCCTTTCATACCATGAGATCTCATCTTTGTTATGTAGGAATTTTATCAAGAGCTTGCTTTTATCTATCACCTGACTGCCTCAAGAAATTCTAGTAAATTTGTGAAAATTCCCTCTATGTTAGCCTTGTTGGCTTTTTCTTAGTATGTTATCTGTTTTTTCTGTCTATTCATTTTATATATATATATATTTACAGTTTCTACCACTGGGATACAGAAGATATTTACTGCCTTGTACGTCTTCAGCCATTCTAAACTTCAGCATCATGTTTTCTCACTTACCAATCCTCTGTTCCTAAAGCTCATTTAAGTAATAGGTTACCTATCAGATTTTGAGGTCTATCTACAACTCTTAAATGAGTATCATCCAGTTCTGGTGATCCAGTATGCTGCTGCTGGAGAGATTTAGAAGCTATTGGTGAATTTTGGTGTCTTTGCAAAATCATTTCAGTCAAGCTGATCATAATAAGATCATGTTCTGTATAAAAGCAGTAGCAAGCAAAACCAAATGCTTGGCTACTGTAGCAATTAGCATAGTGTCAAGGTGAGATCTATGAAGCCAAATTTTTCTCTAGCCAGAGAATCTAGGCCCTATTCTTAATACATTTATTTAATTTATCAAGTTTAAGGGTGCATATATTTCTAAATTGCTGCTTTAGCTATTTTCTGGAAGAGGTACGTGTAGCAGAGAAATCAAGCTTCATATGGCAGTTCAATGTGAAATTCTTTAATTTAGTGTTCAGTATATGTGAGTGTTTAGTTCAATGAATTTGTTCTTTAACTTGATTGATGTCAATGAACAATCAGGAAATGAACTTGACTCAGTATTCCTACTGCTGCTTTCTTAATTAGCTACTGAAATTATAAATACTGTTAAAATTTGGGAAGAAATTAGTATTGTTTCAGTCATGAAAGAATGAAGCCCATTGAAGGCTCTAGGTTAATAGTGACCACAGTAGGCTTCAGAACCAGGTCATTCATTGTCAGGAAGACAGTAAAACCTGAATCTGAAAGCAGTTGTGCAAGGCAGCTTATCACTATTATTAGCCATATATGAGGTGAGTTTTTTAACACTATCAGCAATGAATTAAACTTTGTTGCATCATAATTTTCCTGTCATATAAACAGAGTACATTATGTCTGAAATGTATGTCACTGTGTAACTCTCTTAAATGAGTAATAAGGAGAAAAATTTAAAAATTCTACTGACAGAATTTGGCTTTGTAAAATATAAAGTATAACATTCTGTTGCATGTAATATAACTACTTCATGCCCACTCTTTCTCTTTTTCCTTTTTTTAAAAAACATATGTACCTTCAGTTTGCAGAAAAATTTCAGGAATTCAAAGAAGCTGCACGACTAGCAAAGGAAAAATCCCAAGAAAAGATGGAGCTAACAAGTACACCCTCTCAAGTGAGTCTTTATTGCCTGATTCAAGTTTAGTACTTCGTAGTCTGTGCTACTTACTGTCTTACACACGTTTTAATAAAAATGAACAGGATACTTCACAGTTTCCCTGAATCCTCTCAGCAGTCAGGTAGAAATGTCAAGAAGTCTAAGAATGCGTTAGTATACATTGCAGCAATGTCAAAGGGGCTTGCTTTAATATAAAATTGGCCTTTTGTTTATTTCCATCTCTTTCTTTGAGCTTTCCCCAGAAAATATGTTATGAGTAAAGATGGTGAGCAGTTATGTAAGTCAATCTATAGTAAAGACCTTTTGTGTTTTTTCTTATTGTATCTATGAAACTTCAGGTAATGCAATGTAAATGACTTTATATAAGAATCATTACAAGAAATACTGAAGTTAAAACAGCAAACTCTTTTTACTTATTTCCTCCTGTTGTAGTATTCACTTGGGAAATGTGTTGAAGGAAGATGACAGATTCACATGTGGGTTCTGGAGTTTTATTGCGGTTAGCCATGTTGTAAAAGAAGACTTTATAAAACACATCTCAAAACATGAACTGGGTTAATATAGGCCTAACAGGAAGATATAATATGGTCATGCCTAAAATTAATTTACTTGAAAATGGATACTTTTAATTTGCTTTGAAAAAAGAAATTGCATGAGGCTTTTATGCCCCTCCCCTCCAGTGTTTCTGGCTCTGTGTGTAGCTACTTGCTTTATTTTAAGCAATAGTGAAGACAAAACTAATTCTTTCTCTTGGAGGATGAAGCAACTTTAAAACTAGAGCAACGATTCCTGAGCTGAGTAGGATTAATGCAGCTGAGTCTTTTTTTTTTTTTTCTGGGGAGTGCATCTTCATTCATTGAATCAGTGTGTCTCTTGAGTGCTTTACACTGCAATATGCTCCTGATCTTTGATGTAACAAGAATGGCAGGCCATTTACAACAAGTTATACAAATATATAAGGTTTATTGACACCAGAAAGCTGCATCTGGTGTCCTTCCAAGAGAAGTCAGTGGAAACCACAAGAATACACAATGAACCAACGTCATGTTGTTTTCCCAGTATGCATTTTGCCCAAGTGCTAGGTTGGCTTTTGCTATTAAAGGGAAACTGCTTGCTCTACTGTAACAGGAGAAAAACAAGGCAGTCTTTTATTAGTTTTCTTGACTATCTCTAAACTCATAATTTCCATTAATAAATACATAGATAATGGAAGTAGGTATTTCAGTATTATGATCTAGTATACACTTGGACTTTAGAAACAGTGAAGTGCTTAAGTCAGGCCTCTAGTTACTCGATATTATAGGCAAAACAATTACTCTGCTTCTCTTTTGACATGATGATTAATAGTCTGCACTCAGAAGTTAAATCTGACACTGTTGAATGGAGTGACTTATTTGGTTTGGACATAAATTTGAACTACTCATTCAGAGACAAGATACATTTGTCTAGCAGTTGCCCAGAGTTAAAGCTTTCTCTTAATCTATATGAGCTATTAATATTGTTCATTTTCCAGTACAGATTTCCCTTTAAACTTGGAGCCTAACATTTTATACTGTAGGCAGTTATAGAAATGTTACCTTGAGCAATTCTATAATGCATGTTGAGAGCTGTGATTTATTTACTGCACGCTTAGGAATAATTTCATATTCAGGCCTTACTTTTAATCTCTTGGCTTTTAGCCATATTGATAAGTTAATGTATTATTCCAAAAGATACAGTTAGTGCAAGTGCTGACACATCAGCATAATAGTCTTCACATATTAATTTTTCTCATGAGTTCCCCAGAAAGAAGGGAGTTTGGAGCGGATGAGAAGCAATGACTTCACGTCAGGCTGTAGTGCTTCTGTAGTGCTGGAACTTATTTAAAGACATTTATGACTGAGGGGAAGACAGGTGTGTGGTAGTGGGGAGGGAAGGTGGGACCCTAGAGATATTTGAAGGAGCACTTGCTGTCATTTTGATCATCTGCCAAAAAGCACCTGCAAAGCATGTAATTCCAGTGTTGCCTTTTTCAATCATTTTACAGCTCTTCTTTTCCTTTTGCATAGTGATCCTTTGCAAAGAGGCAGAGTAAAAGAGAAAGGAGAGATATTTTCAGTGGCCAGTCAAGACTGCAAAGGAACCTGGCTTTTTTAAGAAGCTTTGGCAGGAAAGGCTGTCCTGGTTTGAGGTAAAACAGGACCAATTTTGTTCAGTAACTTTGCTTCTTAGCTGGGCCTCTTCTAACTACTGAAATTAACAGCATATTGTGCATGCACTGTTTGCTCTCTCAGAGTGATAAGACCTATGTTTATAGGTGATGCCAAGGAATGGTATGCAACCAAGGCCAGCTAACTTTGTTATTTGCCCTGTTGGAGGGTCAGAAGCAGAAAAGCGTAGAAGGGTCCCACCTGTGGGGAGGAGTGGCCAGGACAGGTGACCCAAAACTGACCAACGGGGCATTCCATCCCATCTGCCTCATGCTCAGTATAAAAGCTGAGGGATCAAAGAGTCAGCTCTCTTTCTTCAATGGCTGGCATCTGAAGAGGACTCTGTTTGTCCATCTGCCTTTGATTCCGAATCCAGATCCGGAATCCAGTTCCCGTCCATCACTGAGTCCAGCCTGGGACTTCCCCAGTGCCAGCCGGTGTTGTGATTGTCATCCTGGGAGCTTGATATGGTTTTGTCTATATTTCATTATTTTCTTTTTATTCTATTATTAATTTTTCATTAAAGTAGTTTAGTTCCTTCTAAACTCCTAAGTCTCCTTTTCCCTCCTCTGCCTCTCTCTTTGAAGAGAGGTAGAGGGGAGCATCTGTCGGTCCCATCTGGGGTGTCCCACGTCTCCAGTGGCCAATTTGGCCTGAACCATGACAAACCTTCAAACATTGGGGGACACATTTAGCAAAAGCTACTTGGTTAGTTAACACCAGGGGATCTACTAATCAAGCTGGCCCTGCCCAGTCAAAGCTTCCACGTATAGTAGAAGGGGATAAAGACCCTTTAGTGCACATGAAGAATATGTTAGGGAAGACAGTCTGGGTTAGTCCTGCTTCAGGCAAATGCAAAACCATCCATGGGATTGCTTTCGCTCAAGGACCTGGGTGCACTTGGTTGGTGATGCAGAAGTTTGGGGAAGTCCAATGTATACCTCATGGGGATTTTGATTTTTGGTGAGAATAGCCAATAAATCAAATTGCATGATGTTAATTGCTAAATAACCGCACCACTGCTTTGGCGGCGGGGCTGGACTAGATGATCTCCAGAGGTCCCTTCCAACCCTGACCATTCTGATTCTCCTATTCTGTATTCAGTCAGCATTAAAAGGTGGCTTGATCTGTGCTGTGAAGTTTGCTTGGTTTACTTTAGAGACTCTTTTGTGAGTGCATGCATTTTGTTTATAAGATTTTGAAATTTAAGGCGTCTTCCCATCTATTATGCTTAGTTTGTATATTGTAGGCAACTGTCATTTTTATACTGCTTGGCATCACTAGTCCTGGATACTTTTTAGTAGGGCCGAGGCTCCTTTAGACAGTGCAAGTCTCTGAAAAACTCTTAAATAGCAGACTCTCACATTTACTTGTCACATTGATAAATATTCATCCTCACTCTGTGTGTAAGTCCAGGACTGGCAAATGACTTAAAGTTCAATATCCTCCAAAAACCTATATATGATATAATAATGGCTTCATAATACAGGAGAGCTCTTAATCCTTCCTTCTCAAAGGTATGAAATATCTCTTTGTAGCTGTCATGAGTGGGAAATATCAGGCCTTAAAATATGTCATTGGTTTACAGGAAGACTTGCAATTTAAGCACTGTTTTTTTTCCATATAGGGTCTACACAGTTGGATCTTAGTTAACCTGCTCTTCCAGCTAGGAGGGAGGGGTGAAAATCTTTTTCATCTGACCAACTCTGTAAAATTTGAAGTGGATGTGTGAAGGTATAAGGATATGGAATAAAACCTCCACTGTTTATTAATGTTTCACAGAAATGTTTCTAGAATTCTTTTATTCTCTCTAAATAATATAAAATGTTAATATATTATTTGTAAACTTAGTTTTGGTCTGTTTAAGTGGTTTTTTTTTCTGTTGTATTTGGCGCTTTATTCATAGCCAGCTTCATAATAAAGTATTTACCAGGCAGGGATAGTTGTGAGTGTGTGAGAGCATTGATTAACCTGTATTGGTGGAAGAAATACATAGTAGGATCTGATGCTTCTCTTGTATATACAGATCAGCCCCTCATGAATTTGCAGGGAGTGAACCTTTAGATATTACGCAGACTGTGATATTTGTCTGCATTAATTTTTGTCACTTAAATTTCATTCAAATTAGACGTCTATGAAAGTACTTTACTGAAAAATAAGCCTAGATGGAACTTGCACATTTATTTTTCTTCTGCTGAAATCATTTTTATGCAGTCATACTTAAAATATTTTAATAAAACTCTGGCTCTATGTATCTAATAATAGCATTGTAGGAATTTTAGCTTAAAGATACAAGCAAGACAGATTTTGTGGGATGTGGTATATGACATTAGAACATCTCGTGTAGTTTGGGAAGAGGAAGAAATAGCAGAGAAACTCTTCGGTCCATAATGCCTTTCATTTAATGGTAGTGGAAACTGTTTATCAAAACAGAGGATAATAATAAACAAAACCACAAAATTTGTATAAAATAACTCATGTGCCTGATTATCTTGCCAGCTTTGCTCTCCTTTGACACTTAATTTCAATTCAGTTTCAGTTCAGTAAAATTGTTCTGTAAAAATCAAGATTTAATTTTGACTTCTAAAGTATTGACACTTAAGATAATAGTTTTGAGTATATAAGAGGATTTTTCCTGAAAGTAGGTAACAATTTACATTCATAAAACAAATAGTTTACATTTATATTATAAATAACAGTTTATATTTGTGTAATAAATCAGTGTAAGCTAATAATTTTCTGCTTTTTAATCAGTAGGAATTTAATAAGAAGATGCAGAATGAAGACACTTGTGCATGTGCATTGTATAACTTGATGAATGCTAAATATAATAGAACTTGAAGTCATTATTAAAACGTTTTAATATAACTCCGTATTACCCACTAATTGAAGTTGTAGAGTGAGATATATCTCTTACTATGTGAGAAATACAGTAGAATAAAAGCAAAATGTTGACAATTGTTGTGCTGCAAATGCTTAATATAATTTAAATTGTAATGAAAGCGTTGAACGACAATATTTTTGGTTAAGTGACACAAATGCTTTGTGGAAGGTGATGATGACAGCCAGATCTTATTTTCTTTAAAAGAACTGAGTTTTTCTGTCTGGTCAAGTCTCAAAGTCAAGGGCAACATTTCTTATAGATATAGGATCAGATTCAGTATTGGCTTTCAAAAAGCCATATCCTTGTAAACCAGTTGAAGGCTACAAGTGGAGGCTCAAAATTAGACCCTGATCTTGTAAGATCATGAACATCTTCAGACACTTCACAATTTCTTCTGAGATTGCTGTCCTTCAGCTTTCTACGCAGTGTCAAAGAGCTGGGAAGAGAAGCTGCTGGCTTTCCAGAGCCTGTGCTTGTGCTTCATTTTAATGACATTAAATATCAGTTTTAACTCTTCCCCGTGCAAATGGTAAAAGGCTGTGTGGCCATAGGAGATGCTTAGCTTTTGGAAATACTGTAATTCAACCACTCCTCTGCTGTATAGACGCCTCTCCATGACATCCATTGAACTCTATTAATGAAACTTTTCTATCTTAGATTTAAATGTTACCACTTGATTACTAAAAGCCTACTAAGACATTTTAAAATCGAGATGAGCTACTTAGCTTATATGACTTGTTTATCTATCTATCTCCTGCAAAAATCATTACTTGAAAAAGTATATAATAGGAAAGAAAATATTAAAATTAAACCATATACAGGGACTGAAAAGCCTATAATGTCCTAACTTAGGATGTGGGCTACACAGTGTACTTTGTTTTTTAAAAAGGAAGTACTTTTCAGTGACTAGAAATTGGAAAATAGTTTTTGTTGGCCAAAACATAAATGTACATATTGGCGTGATGAAGGCTGATTAAAACTGCACCAGTGCCTTCTGATAGGAAGACAACCAATAAGCTTTTCAGGTGTCCAGTTGTGTAGCAGTAGCTGCCTAGGTATAACTGGAGTATTCGCCTTCCCAGATAATACCATGACCAGCCAAGAGCTAAGCCAGGCTAATGTGTCTACGAAAGTTTTACGAGGACTGTGCTGAACAAGTTTTCTTTACAGATGGTTCATAGGTGAAACTGTGAATGCACCACCAATGGCCCTTCCACTGTTCACTTTGGTTAATATGCAAAATCAAAGCTAGATTTTGAAACAAATATCAGAATTGTTTGTTTCACCGTGTTAGAATATAAAGTAAGAGATAAGAATCCTAGGTGTCATAGTCGCCTGGCTGAGGGCTGAATATAATATCAGGTAAGAGAGAGAGGTCTGTAATAAACAGGAGGCTGGACACTTGGAAATAAATCATAGGTCAGTTGTGTTTTGTGCAAGATACACAATGGTAATACACTTCTAAATTAAATTCACATGATGAAATATGACCATGAGGGATGCTGGAAATCTGTGAGCCTCACATTAATGCTGCCTAAAGTTCATATCTCATTTAAGAATTAATGTTAGTGCTTATATACGCATAGCCTTCCTGAGCAGGTTGCTTGGTAATTCTAATGTGTCATTTGTTTGTTTTACTTAAGGAATCAGCTGGAGGGGATATTCAGTCTCCTTTAACGCCAGAAAGTATTAATGGGACAGATGACGAGAGAGTGATGCCGGAAGTGACGCAGAACTCGGAACCAAGAGCTGAACCAACCCAGAACACATTGTCATTTACCCATAGGTACAGATTCCATTCCCACATCCTGATTAAGTGATACTTATCTCCTTCCTCATTAAAGGGACCTTCTCCCATATCATGGCTTCCACCTAGCAAAGTTAAGAATTAAATTACATGATTAAAAAAAAAAGATTGGCTTTCAGATTTGCAGTATAATCTTTGTTTTCACAAAGCAACATGAAAAAAATCTTTGAATAAGATTTTGGAAGGCATTTTTTTATAGTTTAATCAGCTGAATGTGAGCCCTTGAACACTGGATAGTGCAGGTGTCCCTTTAACAGGAAGCATTATTTCAATGTTTGAGATCTTAGCAAAGTTAACTGCTTCTTAGAATATTCTAATTATATTATTTTTGCACACATTTTCTTTAAATGACTGATATGGTTGGATGTTAGCCTTTCACTGATGAGTTGTTGGAAGAAAAGAGACTCTTACAACACTTTCACATTATAAAATTTAAAATAGCCTTTAATTGAACAGTTCTCTAACAGTTGAAAATATTTTTCAACTTTTTTTTGAAGCATGAGAGAAGTGTAGTTCTGCTTCAGACTGAATTATAATTCATTGCACTAGGAATACTGTACTCTGTTTTTTAAGAAAACTAGGACTTTTAATTTAATGATACAAATAATGTCTTAAGATGGGTGTACCTCACCTATTAGAAATTATTGTAAATGGGACACTCAATAAAACACATTATGTACTGAGACCATGGAGAGTAACTTAAATATTTAATAAACTTAGACCAAAGCTAGAAATATTAGATTTATTTTTTTTAAACATGGTCTGAATCAGTTTAGAGTTTAAGAGCCCTCGATCAAAGGTTGGGGAACACTAAGATGTCAGATATGTCATGCAAATAATTCAGAATGAGCAGAGATGGAACTGGAATTGTTCAAGACTTCTCATTTTTTGTAAGAGAATAATACTATTAAACATATTAGCAGATAATAATTTACATTTTCAAATAAGAAAAAAAAACCTTTTTTAGCAGAGTGATTGTGTTTATTTTTATACATCAGTTGTCACCAGTGCATCTATTACATGTTTTACAAGAAATGGTGCTTTGTAAGAGAGCTCTGTGCACGTTGAAGGAGTATTGCAAATGTTGCACATCAATGTTCTGTAACAAGTTCATTTAAACTTACTGTTTGTGTGTTGGAATTCTCTATCAATATTTTTGTGAAACGGAGTTGTGATAAAGTCCACACAGGAGTAGTGGTGTTTGGTTTTTTAAAAAAAATGACAGCTGCAAGATCTTCCCTCTCGCTTTGCATATGTAAATATATTTTATGGTATGCCAATATAGTAACTACACTTTGCTCTGCATTGACCATGACTGAAGATATTTTTTTAAACTACCCAGTTTTAATTTTTGATGGTGTAGAATAGAGGTTGCAAAATTTTCACATGCTTTGCATTTTTCTATCTACTTCATGTATGCAGTGTGAGTACCTAGTTTTAGTTTATTGTCCTGTTAAATACCACTAGCTAGAATTGGTCTTCTGACAGTAACTCTACATTTTGAGGGTCCCTTCTCATGATGATTATAATGAGAATCATTTGTCTTGCTAATGGTAGCTTCAAGTTTGTTAGTGAGCTATTATGGAAGAAAATGCAAATTTTTTTTCAAACCCTTTGAAATTAATTGAATTTTGGACTATATAAGGTTTTTATTATAAATAAATAAAGATTCATATAGGTTACTTTTTTTTTCTAATACTGAAAAGCTCAAGTGAGGAGAGATACATATATTATTATTTAACCCAGAGAGAAAATGCTTTCAGGTGCTTCTGATAATTTTTTTCGTAACAGAAAAAAAAGAATCCTTTTGTGCATGTGTGCATGTCAAGGAACACTGTCTTAATCAGAGGGAAACTGCCATTTTAAAAAACCTATATTCCAAAAGATTCCAGTTATTTCCCAGGTACCAATACATTTTTCAAGTCGATGACATAACTTAGTTTGGCAATCGCTGCTTTAATGTAATGAAGGCTCTCTAAAATGGCACTATGTAACACATGCGTGAAAGAGACGGAAAGTGAAGCCTCCAGGATTGTGTTAGTGCTGGTTAAATGGGCATGTTTTTGTTGAAGTATTTCATAATATTAAATTGGCAACTAGGTAGACATACCTAGTTGTTTGTGCTGGCTGGAAGGGTGCTCTCTGCGGGAAGTGTATTTGCCCCTGATTTAAAAAGACAAAAAAAACAAAACCTTACACCCCTATCATTGGAGACTCCCTGGGCTTTTCATGTGTCAGGGGTACAGAAAAGGATTGTGCTCCTCCTTGTTCCCTGCCCTTTTATTGCTGCTGTGTATTGGTGACGTGTGATGGAGAGGAGTTGCCATGCTGAGCCCTTTCCCTGTGTGCCCTGGTAACTCCTGCCGATCGCTGAGCCTCTTCTGCACCCTGCATTTCAGCAACGTTAAAGTTTAGTCAGTGCTTCTGGGTGAGAAGGATAACGCTGTAAGGGCATGTGAGTGTTGTCTTGTGCATGGCAATGCTTTTTACGTATTTGCCTTTAGTCCTGGAGCTGTTGATCAGTCGCTAGGTGCTTTTCAACAGAAAAGATGGTGTGGTCTTCCCTCCAATGAGTTCAGCTACAGGGGACATGAGAGTTGCTGAGGCTAGCCATGCTTCACTGAAATAACACTAGTATAACAAGTTCATTTCTTGCATGATTAGGAAAGCTATATTCTGTCATGCCAGAGCAGTACATGACAGTATCCTGTGAAGGTCCAAAAGGGGGAGTTGGACTAGATGATCTCCAGAGGTCCCTTCCAACCCTGACCATTCTGTGATTCTGTGAGTGGTCCTCAGTGTAGGTTGAAGCACAGTGAAAGGCATGTGTGGAGCCACCTGGCAGGAGCCCAGGTAGATATGGGGCAAAGGTTGGAGCTTCGTGGGCAGGATGAGGTGCCACAGGACCACACAGCAAGGTTGGCTGGTGAGGTGGGAACTGTGTTGCTGCCAAGAGGGTCGGCAAGCTTAGCCGAGTGTGGGCACCTCTGTGGCAGAGGACAGGGGTAAAGGTTTGAAGGGGGTTGTTGTCAAGACAGTGATCCAGGGAAGAGGTTTTCATGTCTATGAACTGGAAGGGTCTGAAAGGAGTTAACAAGGTCAAAATGAAAGGTGTGGAGGTTATGCTTTAGTCTACATCTCACTACTTGTCATTTTTAATCTGCACACACTGAAAAATGTTCAATTTCATTTTGTTGTAACACATCCTCCCTGGCCAGATATGTCCTCTTCTGCAAGCATTCTTCTCTGTGCTTTGTATATCTTAGTGTAGGTAGTTGGGGGCTATGTTATTTCAGCAGAGTAAGTGTAGACTACTTTGGTATTTATAGTTATTTTCTGACCCAAAAGTTGAAAAGAACCATTACTTAACTCACCATTTTTGTTATTAGATCTTTAATTTTTTATTATTTCAGTAAATAATTGTAAGTATTGAAATTAACATTCTCCAGTATATGTCTACAATCCTATTCATATCCCATGAGCATAATAGAGCAAAAGTCTAGTGGCTTCAATTTATCCTTATCTGGAAAACCATAACACTGTTCACAGGCAGTGTAACTCTAGTCAACTGCTTGAGAGATAAGGTTATTAAACGGTTATGAGCCTTGCACAGAAAGATAAACTCTTGCAATTAAATCTCTTGCCTTTTTTTAAACTAACCATGATGATTAATGTTGAATTATGAAGTAATGTTACTTGGGAACTCTCACATCTTATAATATAGCCTGAGTACTGCTCTCATTAGTAAACATTGCCAAAACAAATGAAATTAAAATGTAACTTAAGCCTGACATTAGAATTTTTAAAAGTCTTGGCTGAGACTCTGAATCTGATTTTCTGAACAATGGCTAGTCCAGGAAGGCTTTTTTCTAACAAAAGCTAGTTAATTATTTTAAATAATAGATTTTATTAAGACTAAAAAAGTGTATTTTCTTAACTAAATCTTAGTTTCCCCAGACATCTTCCTTTTTTAAGAAAATATTTTCCACATTCTTTAAGTTGTACTTTTATTTTTTTTTCCATCTAAAAAAAAGTTGACCATAAAAAGGCATTTGGAGAGAAAAAAGTTGCTAAAAAGTTTGTAACCATTTCCAATGTGACTGCACCTGGCTTTTAAATGTAAGTTTTAATCCTGCTGGTGCATAGTATACAATTCCTGATGGCCTGAATGAGCCCAAAGAAATACTATATTGATCTTATTTAGCTTTAGAATATAATTCAAACATTAATTCAGAATAGTGTGTCTGGTAAAGTCTGCAACTGCTGCTTGGGGCTTTTTGGTAACTGTTTGGTGAACTTGCTCTTTCACCTTTGAAGATAATGCATTTGTTTATAACAAGTTTTATTCCATTTTTGGCACCTCATGAAGCTGTGGGATGAAACACTTTCAGAAACAAAAGTTAAAACAAAAGGATTCTTCTGGGACAAATCTTGAAAGTCTTCAACTTTATGTCAACTGTGACTTGTACCTTTTACCTCATTTTTTTCATGTAACACGTAAAGATGTTCCATCTAAATGTCATGAAACTTGGAATTTCTATTACATAATGTTTTGATTAGACAATATATATGTGTGTGTTTGTTGCTTGTTCATTAAAATTCCTATTTTTGTGTTCAAACAAGTTTTTAATATGAAATTTTGATTCATTGCCTTAGTGAAAATGGACTTATGATTTTTATATATTAGATATTTTATTGTCTAGATAGCTTACCATTTAATAATGCTGCATGTAAATCCAATGTTGTAATAACAAAGAAAAAAACAAAAAATATTGCTGCTAGCTCATGTTACTTCACTGAGTTTTCATTAAAAGTTGTATGCAGAAATCTGTTTAGTAGATTTTTCACTTTGTGTATTACAACTACTTACTTCTACAAGCTTCAATATTTTAGTTATGTTACAGTAAAGATAATTTGTGAATCATGCTGAACTGTTAAGTTGGCTTTAAAGAAAAGTTTTGAGTTAATAATTTTTGTGG